GTGTCACTGAAGCACCGATTGCATCGGCCCATCATTCAATGCATCATTGAATTATTTGTTGCAATAGTGAAAAATGCATAGTATGAGATTAATACAACTTCCTAGTTTGGCATTATTAGGTGAGAAGGAAGAAAACAATGATAGAATCAAGACACAATGTCAAGATCTCTAGAAGGTATTCAAGATATGAATAATTAGGTCACAATCAATGGTCAAATAAATTTACACCATTTGTATAAGTCGACGTTATCAAATGTAAAGCAACGTGGTATCTTCAATCTTTTGTATAGCATAGTTTCATCAATTTTTTTTGTATAAGTCTACATTAGTTATAAAGGTATCTTTTAGTGTATAGTATACATATACAAGTATACCTATATAATTTTTTTGACAAATGTGTTACAACATTATGAAACATTGTAAACTTTTACAAATTTTAAATATAAGCTATCATTTTGTAATTGATGTTACCATTTTGTTAATTTTCAGGGTAGATTTTAATTTAGCTACGATATTTTTTATTTAAGTTACACTCGATTTATGAATGGGATACAATTACAATCTAACATTTCGATTACTATGTGCCAAATTTCATTAAATATACTAAAATATCCTAAATTATGAAAAATAATTTTAATTATCTTTACAATCATGTCATAGTAGTTGTGAAGAAGTTTCATTCAGTTTGATTAAATTTAACTTGAGTTACACTCTTATTATACTCGAGTTACATTTGATCACAGTGTAACACTATCCAATAGTGGTTTCGCCTCAAACTACGCATTAGTGCCATCTAGAACTATAATACCCTTTTTAAATATTTTAATTCCTAAAATTATCTAAAATATAAAAAAAATTAGAAAAAGTGATTCTAAATATATTAGAATCATATTATAATAGTTATACAAAAGTTTGGATAGGTTTAATGAAAATTTCTTGAGTTACACTCATTCACAAGTTTAAAATATAAATATCTTATTTGGATAATTAATCATTCTAAAATTAAAAAATTAAAAAATGATACTTAATATACTAAATCATATTATGATATTTATAGAGGAGTTTTGATAGGTTTTGTGAAAATTTTTTGAGTTATACTTGTATTATGCTCAAGTTACACTTGATCACATATTCAAAACATAAATCTCATATTTAGATAATTAATCATCCTAAAATTAAAATACTAAATATACTATAATTATATTAGCATAGTTATAGAGAAGTTTGGTTAGGTTTTGTGAAAAATTTTTGGGTTACACTCTATTATAGATTCAAAATATAAACCCCTTATTTGAATAATTGATCACTCTAAAATTGAAAAAACATAAAAAGAGTGATATTAAACATACTAGAAACATATTATGATAGTTATAGAGAAGTTTCAATAGGTTTTGTAAAAATTTCTTGGGTGACACTTGATCACAGATTTAACAAAAAACATTATATTTGGATAGTTAGTCATCACAAATTCAAAAATAGTTAGGAAAAATGATACTAAACTTATGAGTCATATTAGGATAGTTATAATGAAATTTGGATGAGTTTGAGGAGAATCACTTTAGGTACACTCAATCATATATTCAACCCAAAGCACCCTAAATTTACACACAAGTGGGAATCATCACAACTACATATAATGAATCATAACAAAAACTCCTATTCAATAATCACATATCAAACATATGGATGCAATTCACAATAACATTAATCAGATTACGAAGATTACGTCACATTGTCAAACAATTTGTATAATAACATAGGCCATAATTAGACTTTCTGTTGCTTAACTCTATTATCCTCAAAATCCTTTAGGTTAGTTTCTCTTCATAAAGAAATATAGATTGTGTTTTAAGGATCGATATATTTTCAGCTTATACTACTTATGGACTATGAAAGATAATAGATCATCAATGGATCCAAATAAACGATCCTCCATGCCTAGGGTCGCAAGATGACCAAGTCCGTAATCTTGGAGTATCTTCGATAATCTTTTAATTTTATCTTCTTTCTTTTTAGACTCGACATATTTTTTATCTTCACCAACATGTATCCTACAAATAATTTAATATAGAATATATTTTAAATATATAAACTGAATATACTAAATTATTATATCTCGATATTCTCAATTGATAGTAAATGGGACTCAATAGATGTCGGGGTGAGCACTTGATATAACTGCATAATATGCATATATAATAGTTATAGAGAAGATGTCTATATCTTCAGATGAACTCTTAAGTTGATAATTACCTTGTTCTTAGTTATCGATTGCAACCTTAAGTCAATAACATTTCCGTTGCTTATGCTTACCTCCACAATCACGAATGATTAGGATAATGCGATAATGGGATATCGGTTGCTAATGCTCATCTCCACAATCATCAATGATTAGGATAATGGGATAACATAAACATATCAACATACTTACATAACAATACTTGCTAAAAAATTAGCAAAATTAAGAATCAAAATTAAACTATATTGGACTTTCATATGTACATGGAAAAAAAAGAGATTTGGCTTACTATCAAAAGTTATACATAGCCTCTCAAATATCCAATTATCTTGGTGCTACCCTTAAACTTCATCTTCTTTATATGAGCACCAATAATGAAAATCTTAATGATAATGTAAGAATGGACAATCATCGCGCAATTGTAGTTTGTCAATAAATCCAAATTATCGACATAAAATAGTAATACAAGGGGTGAAGTATAGTTTGTTTGATTAAATAAAATATAAATAAAATTATACAAAATAAACAACCATAGAAAATCATTAGTGTCAATATTATCATCACTAGACACCAGCCTATACATTGGATCTTCTATATTTTGTCTACTAGGAAGTTACTCTCTAAAATATTTCTCAAACATATAATCTGAACCCATTGCTTCAACATTTATCACTTATCCATGGTTGAGAACCCCAAAATAAAAGCAACATCACTTGGACTAAACTCAATTGGGATATCGCCAAAAGTAAAAAGTGGATCGCTCTATCCAATGTTGCAAAATGCTATACATAGTAGATCGACACGTAGAAATGTTAAGAATATTTGCTATATGACAAAAATGTATCCTCTTAAGAACCTGAAGATGATACAACCAAGAGAAATAGATATCATATGACCTTGACTCCTACCACTAGACTCATAAACAAAATGCCTAAAATGGTCAATATAACAATGACGCTTAACTATGTATTAAAAAAGGGTGATATGGTAGTCGAGGAAGCACGGGGTGGTCAATAAAGGAGTGATACATGAGTGGGTGATGTAATGGGGGTGATAAATGAGGCGGTGAGATGGAGGAATGTCTAATTGACACATCTTCAGCTTTGCGCCGGAAACAAAAATGTATTAGTTGCATATAACTTGATAATGATTAATATAAATTATCAAGTTATGATATATATTACCTATAGTAGCTACTTATTCTACTTTCTTACCCCCAAGTTGAAGGGATTTACATAATGATATAATTCTGTTTATATACAAAATTAAATATTATAAATAGAGGATATTATATCTATATTTAAAGTTTACGCAGATGTAAGAAAAAAAAAAGAGAAAGTAACTATTCTAAATGCTTAGATTCTACAAATTATTTTCAATAAGCAAAATATGCAATGGGTGTTTGTCCAATTTCATCAATTAAGATAAAAAATTGTAAACCCTCTAAGATAATTCTATAAATACTAAAACAAGATTTAAGAAATGTTACTTTGTCTAAGAGAAAGCTATATATATAATTGCACACCTAATTATAAATAAAAACAAGAATTAATCAGCTAAAACTTCATCACGAACATATATAATAACTATTCGTCCGAATACCTCCACTAAGCTTACTGATTCACACCCAAGATCTTCGACATCTCAACTATAAAAAAATTCACTAACAAAGAGGTAATAACTAAAAATTCATCAACAACTAAAAGATTCACTATGAGGGTCTTCCTTCTTAGTTTTAGATCATCAAGCTTCCCTTGTTTCACCAAAAACTAACAAAACACTTACATTATGTTAAAAATATAGATATAAATAATTAATGAACTGTTAATCATTTTTATCATATAAACGTGCAAAACCTCTAAGGACTCTCATATTATCAATTGGATTAGTACACATATTTAATAATTAATAAAAAAATTAGCTTTTAAAAAAATTATTACTTTTCTTGAAGAAAAAGAAAAAGTTTGCCACCAAAGAGGGAAGGATGTCAACGTCGATGAAGATACTATCGTTCACAGTTGAAGATAAGATGAGATCATCATCAATACAAACACCAAAGAAGAGTAGAGGAGTTCACTGTCGTCGTTCATCATTAGAGAGGAGCAGAGGAGTTCGCCACCACTAAAAAGGGGAGGATGTCATCGTTGTTCACAAATACTAGAAATGAGTAAAGGATTTTACGATCACCATTTGTAATGGAAGGGGAGTAAAAGAATTCATCGCCACTGCTAGATGAGTAGAGGAGGGAGAGGAGCACCGATCATCATCGATTACATTGGTTCGATATAACTTTTTACTTTTTTATTCAAATTCGACTCGGTCCGCTTCGCAAGATTTGATCCAAACCACGACTTCGATCAAATCGAACCCGCCCTTGGATCAATCGGGTTTGAATCAAGCTACCCAGTTCAATAAAAAGGATTGACTCGATTTTGAGGATATTTTTAATATTTTAAATAAAAAAGTACTATGATAAAAATTCAAATGCGAGAGCCTCGTCATCATCTAAGTAAAAGCTCATTATCGAAGGGAGGTTTCTCTGAGTAAATTACCCGACTCTATTCGAGTTATCTATTATTTACTCGGGGTTCATATTTCGATTAGAAAGCGAGTTGGTTGGCCTGTAGTCAATGCAACGTCCCTCCGCCCGCCCCGCGGTGGGCCCCGCTCCGCGTGCCCATTTTCTTGACCTCGCCCCCATTCCCCCCCATCCCCAATTCCGTGTTCTTATTTATTTTCTGTCGTTGCTTCTCTTCTGCCCGTCCTCACAAAGCTACCACCTTCCCCCTACTCCCACCACCCCCCACCCCTCGCTCATCTTTCTTCTTCTCTGCTACTGAATAATAATCCAATTGGAACCCTCGCTGTTGTTCTAATTAAAGAATTGCGCGGGTCGTTAGTTAGAGAAATGTACCGCTAGTCCACCCCTCCGTATCCCTTCTTTGCCTTCTCTTTCCTTCCCCCTTTTATCTTCTTCTTCATGTGATCGAGGATGACAGTGCGGGTAAGAATAAGACGACCAGTCTTCTTCCTGATGGTGGTCGTGATTTCATCCGCCACCCTCATCACTCCGTCTCTTTCCGATCCGAGGACATCCCAGGCCGCCCTCATCTGCACCAACCACACCGCCTCCGCCGCCGCTCGCTCCTCCTTCGTCGCCAACTTCCTCTCCGCTATGGACGCCGTGACCCCGCAGATCACCGCCCGGCAGTACGCCAGAGTCGTCGTTACCGGGGGAAGTAACCCCGACAACGCTTCCGCTGTCTATGCCTTCGGGCAGTGCATGAAGGACCTGTCCAAGGCCGACTGCGACATGTGCTTCGCCACCTGCAAGACCCAGATCCTCAAATGCCTCCCCTTCCAGAAAGCCACTCGCGGCGGTCGCAATTTCTTGGACGGTTGCTACCTCAGGTGGAAGTCGATACTTTTGCTTTCCTTTCACCTTCTTCTCTCTTTCTCCTCCTATTTATTATCCTCAAACTCCAACCAAATTTCACCATTTAAAGTTCGGGCAAACGAGAATTTTTTAGTGGCATTGACTTTGTTCAGTTCTCAATCTTGGCATGCTTATTCCTGCTTAATCTATTCCTTGGAATAGAAGAAAGAAAGGAAAAGCAAAGGATTTCGGGCTATAATGACACTCGAATTTGGATCACATGTAACTGTAGGTATGACGAGTACGAGTTCTTCGGGGAGGCGCTGAGCCAAGATGACAGAGTAATCTGCAGTGATCAGGAATTCGCTGGGAATACTACTGCTTTCACAGAAAACACGAAGAATTTGGTTAAGAAGCTGAGCACAGAGGCTCCAAGGAATGATGGCTTCCTTGTTGGTTCTGTTGAAGCAGGGAATTCAAGTGTTTATGGACTGGGGCAATGTTGGGAGTTTGTGAATAAGAGCTCATGCGAGAAGTGTCTGCTAAATGCGAGAAAGACAATTAATTCATGCATACCTAAGCAGGAAGGAAGGGTGTTAAATTCGGGGTGTTACATGAGATACTCAATCAGTCGTTTTTACAACAATTCAGGAACTGATGCTGCCGGCGGAGGTGAGTTGGATTTTTTCACAAGTCACTGACCATTGAGTTTTATTTGTTTCACTGCTGTTGTGCAATTTTCTTTCACTCATTCAACAAGCTAGCAATGTTAAGGCTAGTTATAACAACCACAATTTAAAGTTCATATCTTGCATGACTAATGAACATGAGATGCATTATCAGAAAGACAAAAAAGAGTTCAATGAATATGGAAACGAGATACCAATTTGACACGAGTATGGATCCATCAAATTTTGAAAAATATTTGGTAGGGCACGGATAAAACAATAAAATAATACTCTAAATATTAAGGCTATTATTGACAGCATTTAACATTTTATTTACAGTGTTAGGAACTCAGAATCATTAGTTATATATCATGGTTCGGGATTAATATTGAGTAATAATTAAGATATCTAACCAATTTATCATGAAAAATTTTGTGCCTCTCAGAAGCTTTATTGGAACACATGCCGCTTTGTTTGGACTTTGGCCAGTTAAGTTTATAAATCACCCTTCGAACAAATTTTCATGCGAAAAGGACATGACTAAGAGGTAGCTGCATGACAGGTTGTTTCTCTTTTATACCTGCTCTTGCATGTTTGACTGAAGAAGTTAAATATGGTCCAGAGGATACTGAAGAATTGGAACAACCCTTTGTTTGCAACAAAGCAAGCTACCACCAAAAGATTGACTAGGATATTTTAGTTGTTTCTGTTTTAAGCTCTAGTGAACCTTTCCTATGACCTAGGCAATGAAGACTAGTCCATAATGGGTCATTCATGTGTTTGCTTTAGATGCCTGAAGCTGAAGGGACTGAAGTTTGTGACAATGATTTTGGAATGACTTTGAAATATAAAATTTTGAAACAGTTTCAGGTGATGAAGAGAAAGGAAAGCATAGTTGGTTGGATGTTGACCTAGTTAGGATGATTTAACTCTATTGGCAGCACTCTTTATAAACTGCTAGTCTTCTGGGATGGTCAGATTAAGTGAGTCTTCTGACACCATTACTTCGAAAAGTTTCAATTTGTGGAACTTAAACCAAAGTTTTCGTTCCTCGTGTGTTGTGCCAGTGTAGGTATACAAGCTAAGACTATGAAAGCCAATCAATCAAATTCTTCTTAGAAACTGAAGATGCTATTAAAACAGAAGATAGAATGATACTTCTGGTGGTCAGGATATCCGGAGTACATGATAAGGCTGCCAACCATAGATGTAAAGCTCACAAAGTTTCACTGCCATGTTATGTCTGAATACAGGAATTTACAACTCACTAAGATGTTTTGGATTCTGATACTATTCTACAGATCAACTATCAAGCTTATCTTTCTTTCTACTGTGTATAACTGAGATGCTACTAGATTTCAGGAGGTGGGCACCTTGCTGTTATCCTTGCTGTTGTTTCATCAGCTGTGGCATTTGTGATGATCTTAGCATCTATTATTTTCTTTGGGAAGAGAAAAATTTTACAGAGGAGGAAAGGTAAAATATTTTGAGAGTTCAAATACATTAAACGTTTGAATGACTTGTAATTTGACCTTTCAAACTTGTTGTCCTTAAGTGAGGAGGCAGCTGGGTGCTTTGGCAACTACCATACGAAGATCTAGTCTCAACTTTAAATACGAAACACTTGAGAGGGCTACAAATTATTTCAGTGATGCAAATAAGCTGGGTCAAGGAGGTTCCGGTTCGGTGTTTAAGGCAAATTTTGCTACCATTTCTCTATTTGCTTTTCTATTTGGAAACTGTTCTGATTACATGCGCTTGATCATTACCATTTTGACAGGGGGTTCTGCCAGATGGGAGATCTGTTGCTGTAAAGAGATTATTTTTTAATACAAGGCAATGGGTCGATCAGTTCTTTAATGAAGTCAATTTAATAAGTGGACTTGAACACAAAAATCTTGTCAAGCTGTTGGGCTGCAGTGTCACTGGTCCTGAAAGCCTTCTCGTATATGAATATGTACCAAACAAGAGTCTTCATCATTACCTTTCTGGTTATAATCTATACCATGATTATAATAGCTTTGCATTGACCTTTTCTTGGTTCCCTTTGTAAGTTTGATCATTTTCTTCATATAGACAATGCGAATGCTAAGCTACTTAGCTGGAATATAAGATACAAAATCATCATGGGGACTGCAGAAGGTTTAGCTTATCTTCATGAAGAGTCACAGTTACGAATTATTCATCGAGATATTAAACTCAGCAATATACTGCTCGATGAAGAGTATGCTGCGAAAATTGCTGACTTTGGACTTGCTAGACTTTTCCCAGAGGATAAGACTCATATTAGCACAGGAATAGCCGGAACTCTGTAAGTTGTGCAAGATTTCTCTTCATCTACATTTTCAATCCTGTACTAGTATATTTTTCATCAGTATATCTTGCATTTTGTACTACTCATTTTGCTTCTGTTGATCTTTCGAAAAATCTTAATTTGATAAAAATTGAATGTCTTAACCTTTGTTGCATCAAATGCATAACCTGCCAATCGAGAAATAAATGGAACCACTTCTATCATTAATTATTGCAATGTTTTGCTTTGTAGAGGTTATATGGCTCCGGAGTATCTAGTTCGTGGCAGATTGACTGAGAAAGCAGATATATTCAGCTTTGGGGTTCTTTTAATTGAAGTCATCACTGGAAGAAGGAACAGTTCACGATCGGAAGATCCAATCTCAACTCTGCAAGAGGTAATGATCTTTTTTGTTGTTCAATCCTCAGGGATGCCCTTTGGTTGGCGTCGTTTAATTTCAGAACCTATGGTTCATGTTGGAGTTCAAAACTGGAGCATTTTACTAACCAATGGCTACTTATTACCTTTATTGGCAAAAAATACTAAACTCTATTATTACTCAGGTTTGGAATCTTTATACATCAAATAGATTGTTGGAAGCTATCGATCCTATATTAGAAGGTAATTTTCCTATGGAGAAGGCAACTCGGGTGCTCCAAATCGGGCTTCTTTGTGCTCAAGCATCTGCAGAGCTGAGACCAGCAATATCGATGGTTGTTAAAATGCTTGTGGACGATTCTCCCATCCCTTCCCCAACTCAGCCACCGTTTCTCAACTCCAGCATGCAAATTGCATTAGCAGCACGGATGAAAGCCAACTCTAGGCATGGAACCTCCACTCAGTCATCGGACAACAACACAACAATCACAGTGATTGAGCCAAGATGAGGGTACTAGAATATAAAATCTTGTAGATTATCTTGATAGTCTAAACATTATGCTCTTAGTGAGAATTGATCTTTGGTTTTGCTTGCTGAAATCAAGAGAATGGTTGTATATATTATTCTGGATTAATTTGTTTACCCTGGGACCAATACTTGAGCCTGCATCTTTTACCTGTATTTGGGCTTCTTCTCCACTATAAATCATGTTCTTAAGCAGTATCCTTATGATTTTTCTAATCATTAACTGCAAAAACTTTCCAGCTATTGACAAGTTGCCTATGAAGTCTAAGGTGATCTTTTAGAGTAATTTTGGAAGTAGTCATTACATGAAAACATTTATAGTTTCTGTTGGGTCAATAACCATTGCTCCTAGACATCAATCTGCTACAACATTATGTTTTGGCAACTGTTTAGTGTTTGACATGTATTTTCTTTCATGAATTCCCTTATCTGGACCATACACGACTTCCCTGTTATTTGAGTAGGTAAAAATTGTACTCTTTATCAGTCCTGCATCTTTAAGTCCCAACTTTGTGCAAGTTCATATTTCCTGCCAGAGAATGAGGGAGCTATAGATCTTTTTCATCAGCCGGAATCAATGTACTAATAAGACCCTAGGGGAAAAAATGAGAGAAAAGGGAATGATCACTTCGAGGGAATCGGCCTCCTTGATCACTTCGAGGGGATCGACCTCCTAGGATTTTGTCAAAAGATCGAATAATAATATTTCATTATCTGCCAAGAGAAACGGTTACATCACTATTTATATAGAGTTTCATCTGAAGTCCACTAGGACTTAGACTTTAATAAAAATAAATATTAAATAAACCTCTACCTTATTCTAACTAAACTAAACAGACTCAATAAATAACTGAATTAAACAGACTCAATAAACATTATTCAAAAGCTCATAAAAAGGCTCATACCAATTTCTCTCTCTTCAAATCAGTTCTCAAAGTTGAGCAGCATCAAACTCGGGGAGCTTCTCTTTCAGCACTTCAGTCATATGCTATCTGCAATGCATCATAATCCGTTGATCAAGTAAGTATGGTCTCCACTTTTTGATAGTGTAAGTAACAGGTCGGTCTTTCAGCGTAGTAATCATTGCAAAAAACTCCTAGCCCTATATAATCAATTTTATTCTTGAACATTTGCTATCACAAGTTAAAATCCATCGATCAGTGATCTTTACTTTGAATCTGTCACAGCCTTCAATGTGGTAAGCTAATCGGGCTGCAACTTTCCTGTCCATAAAATTATTAGTGCTACCCGTATCAATCAAAATAGTAACAGGCTAATGCTTCAAAGTTCCTCCGATTTTCATAGTTTATGGGTTAGCGTAACCAGCCAATGCATGCATTGTATGTGTGATGGCTTCAATATCTTCATCAGTTTCCACACCTTCATGATCGGAGTCCAACTCTTCTGCTTCTGGTTCCTCCTCGATCGGCTCAATCATCAGAAGATTTCCTTGTTTTCATCGGTGCTTCTTACTCAACTTTTCATCGCAATATCAACACAAACCCTTCGTTGATCTTTCTTTAAGTTCTTCTCGAGTTAGTCTGCGAGTAATAGGATTTCGACTAGGAGTAGATGGGGTGGGCTGCTTGTTGATCACTTATTTATTGACACCTTTGTTTTGACAATATTCCATGCTGATTTTTTCCTCATGCAGGCGTACAAATGAAATTGCAGCTATCATGGTGTGGGGTTAACAAGTCTTAACTTCACACCAAATCTCTGGATTAAGCCCTTCAATATATGTACCCAGAAGTTATCGTTCCGACCAATCTCTAGCTTGATTTGACAATCTTTTAAACCTGCTCTGATATTCCAACACTGTAGAAGTATGATGAATTTTGATGAGCTATCCATCAACATTCTCATATTCTGATGGTCCGAAGTGAACAAGAAGCCCTCTTTTGAACTGCTCCCATGAAGAAACTCCGTGGCAAGTTTCATACCAATCATACCACTGGATTGCATCTCCATCCAGTTGGATTGAGGCAATTTCTACCTTGGATTCTTCTGGGATCCTATGAAAACGAAAAAAAAATTCTGCCTTGGAGATCTAATTGGTTGGATCTCCATCTTCCCATCTCGAAAATTCCACCTTCATGTGTGAGTAGTTTATGTCACAATCTTGGGGCCCTTTCTTGTATTTCTATATCTATACAATGTAGAACTTGAGCCCCAATTTTATTGAAATTTGTTAAGGCTCTTCAGTAGGCTCTTGCAGCCGGTTCTCAATTCTGATTTCCAATACTTCCATTTGTGCTTTCACTGAGTTATCGGTGGCCATTGCGTAAGACTGCAAATATGGGTTCTCAACTCTTGTTTTTGGTGTCGGGACAAGGGCATCAGTCACTGCCCTATTCGGTGCTACTATTGTGATGCAATCGGTGGCAGCACTATTGGAATGAAGGGTTGTTGCGAGGATGTAGGGATGTAGTTGCGGTCATTATGTAGGAGGTAGCGATGCTTGTTGCAGTCGCTGCATTGAGGGATCGTTGTTGCTAAGGGCTGGGAGGCAGCGATGGTGGTGCGGCTAGGGGCAGCACCACCAAGGGCTCGCCGTTGCAGTGGCTGCGACAGCGCGGATGGAAGGCAGCGTTGCTCTGTCTCTATCGCACTGCGGAAGGAGGTGCTGGTGACGCCGAGGGATCGTGTGCAGTTAAGGAAACAGCGGTGGCTACGGTGGTCGTGGTTGCCTTGTTTTGATCTCCGCGAGGAGGGATGGTTGAGTGATTGCAGCTACGACACAAGAGGAGGCAGCGATGGTGGCGTAGTTGGGGGCAGTGTCGCCGACAGTAGAAGCGACGAGGGGGTGGTTCGTTGGCTGCGAAGTAGCAATCGTGGCCCTTCTCACTCGAGCGAGATGGGGCAGCGAGGAGGCGAAGGTCGCTGGCCGGGGAGCAGCGATAGCGGTGGTCAAGCGGCCAGGAAGCAATGGCGGCGGTGGAGGAGTTGCCTTGCAACGGCGGTGGGGAAGAAGGGAAGCAGGGGTGCGGCGGGTTGAAGTAGGGGTGCAACGTGTTGAAGCAGGGGTTTGGGCTATCGGGAAGCAAGGGCGGCGGTGCTAGAGAGGGGAAGGTTGGTGGCCGGGGAGCAGCGGCAACGGTGGTCGAGCGACCTATCACGAATGGTCATCGCGCACCCGCAACAACTCCATTCAACGAACCATTCGTCACTCTAATCTACATGCACAACTGCTTGGTAGCATATTTTAGCTTGGTTTTAAGTCCTTTTGCTTGTAAAAATGTAAGTTTGAACAAGTTACAGCGCTACAGTGCAACCGCTCACCGAACCGAGCAAAATAGCCTCAAAACAGCTCCGTTTTTGTGTGCCATGGGCTGATTTCTATAGCCCACTGCTGCACACGAAACATCAGCCATCTCAGCACCCTGGAACCCCCTGGATGGCACAGGGCTAGATGGGGCTTCGGTATAGTATCGGGCGTTGAACAACCTTTCGTAAGTTCGCATGTTACCTTGACAGGAACTTGTTATCACGCCTAACACCCGGTGAGCAGCTGTTTGTGGACTTACAACTGATCGTTCAACCCTCTAAAGTCCTTGTTTTCCTCCTCTCCCTCTTTTCTCTTGTGCACGCAAGGTGCTCGCTAAATTACTTGTAAAACTTCCCCTTTTCACGAGACGTTGGGACTTGTCCATCGCTCGTTCTTCGAACTAATTAACTTTCTCTTTTACAAGTCCTTTAGGACCTGCGAGAGGTTGCAATTGGGCTGATCTTTGCGGACGCAAATCGCAAGGGCGAAGCGTGACTTAGGCAACGTAAGCTAAGTTTGCGTCTTTGCCGCAACGGTGCCTCGTGACTTAGGCAACGCAAGCTAAGTTCGCGTCTTGGCCGCAAGGGTGCCTCACGCCTTAGGCAATTCCAGCTAAGGCCATGACATTGTGGTATTAGAGCAGGTAAGCACTTCGAGCGAGCAGTGAAGGAACTTCGCAACTTCACCATGGCAAAGCATCGTGGCAAATCAAGCAAGACGGGGCATGCCGGACCCTTGACCCAAGCAGTCGCAGGTGGGCTGTAAGTGCACACTCGCTCTCATGCTGTTGGAGCCACTCATGAGGAGCACGATAGCGAACATGATGATCGAGAAATTGGCTACTCTCCGCGAGTGGAGGAGGCGTAATCTGGAGTGCCGACCAGGAAAAAGAGTCAAAAGGAGAGACTTATAACGGTGGAACCCACTTGAATGTTCTTGAAGCGAGCTTGGAGGAACTCTACCATGGCCAATGAAGGCTTGTTGGGGTAGAGAGCTCGCAAGAAGAAGCATAGTCCAGGATCGACAAGGTCGAGGCCCTAGTCAACCGACTGTCAGATGACACTAAAGACTCTGTGCAACACCTACAGGAAGTTGTGGCGGAACTCACTTTGAGGGTGACTATGCTCACAAGAGCACTAAATGCGGGAGGAAGCAACACTCACGTTGCGCAACCACAGAACTTGAGGGCACCCGAGCCTCATGGTTATGGAGGGGCCAGAGATGCCAAAAAGCTCGAGAATTTCTTGTTCGACATGGAACAATACTTTTGAGCTATAAGGCCTGATTCTGAAGAAACCAAAGTTTCTATAGCAACAATGTATCTGAACGGAGATGCAAAACTTTGGTGACGAACCCATTGAGAGGAGATCCAACAAGGTCGGTGTCGAGTTGACACGTGGGAGGACCTGAAGCAGGAGTTGAGAACTCAGTTCCTACTGGAGAACATAGAGTTCCTCGCAAGGAAGGAAGTTGAGACAACTTCGTCAAAATACTTCCATCTGAGACTACGTGAAGTAATTTTCTACGCTAATGCTGGACATCAAGGACATGTCCGAGAAGGATAAGTTTTTCAGCTTCCTTGATGGTTTGAAGCCATGGGCTCAACAAGAACTACATCGAAGGAATGTCACTGATGTGATCGGGGCAATTGCGGCCATAGAAAGGCTCACCGACTTTGTTTCCTCTGAAGACCCAGGAAGAAGAAAATAACCTTCAAGCAATCGCCCTCCAAAATATTCTCGAGGGAAGGAGCTCGAGGGCTAACAAAAGAAGAAAATTCCCATAATGGGCTAAGCTCGGAAGGCAAGGCCCCGAAACCTAGCGGATGCTTCTTGTGTGGAGGGTCGCACATGGTGAGGGA